GTGGAAATTGACGCTAAAGAGGTACTTAGGCTACTACATGATAATAATATAATACATGTTAATCTCCTAAATGATTGCAGGCGCCTGCTGAGGCAGCTACATGATCCAATAGTAAGCCATGCGTACAGAAAGCAGAATAGATTAGCAGATCAACTAGCAAAATCAGGAAGCTTTTTGGAAGGAAACTCTACTATGCAGATTTTTGACAAACCACCACTTTTGTTAGTACAATATGGGATGAAGATAAGTTTGGTGTATCTACTACACGCTTGCTGCCACTTTGTATATATGACTTGCCAGATCCACCTGCATTGCATGCATCTGGAAGCTATATCAGAAGCCAAAATGTTTTTGAATTTTGTAATGATAACTCACTTGTTGGAACTACAAACAATATAACTAGTACTAATAATGGGTTACCTTGTGTAGTATGTTTGTTTAATAGAATATCTATCTTTACTACCAAAAAAAAAAAAACTTCAAGAAAACTAAGAGAAGATGAAAAGGGTAAATTACTTTTACCCTTGTTTTGCGGTAATTCTCCCGTCCCTTGCTTTTAATTTATTTTTATTTTTCAAGTAGTTGATAGGGATTAAAAAGTTTAATTGGATAGTAAGAGTCCTAAAGCCAATGGAACTGTCCTTTGAAACAAATACGTGCCTCAATTTGAACTAATTTAATTTAAATTATATCTTTAATTTTATCAGCTGTCACAACACAGTTTAAATCATAATCTCTTGATAACGTACCAATTCCTTAGAAACACTCATCTTTAGTTTTATCCTAAAAAAAAAGAAATTGAAGATTACCTTTTATTTTTATTTCCATTTTTCTTTTTCCCTCATATGAAATTACCTGGCCATCATATCAAAAATCAAAATCACAGTGGAAAAATGCGGCGCCACCAATAATTGGACGACGCACACTCACACGTGTCCAATAATTATTGGCTTTCGCTTCCGCCACCGAATCAAGACTTGTGACTCCTCTTTTTTCATCTTCTGTCATCTCTATCGTTGAAAAATTTTCCCCCAAAAAAGATTCACAACTTTTATGGTTTAATTTTTTCATGAATATTTGATTTTTAGTTTTCCTTTTTATTGATTTGATTTTTCGAAATGGATCAATTAGATTCATTTCGAGATAATAATTGGGACTTAATTGATATAAACAGTTTTATAGATGAGGCACCTTCAGATTTCTTTTGGAATGATCAAATCCAGAACCAGAACCAGAGGTATTTTTTATTTATACCCTTTTTGATTTTTTTAATTAGCTTGTAAAATCTAACCTTTTTATATGCTTTTAGTGCTATGTTTGTCCAATGTAATCTGTTAGTTCTGCTTAATCTTGTGGGATTTTATTAGATTAAATTTCAAGTTTAGCTTGTAAAAATTTGAGTTTATCATTAGGCTTTTATTATATACTCGTTCAATTTATCTGTAAAAATTTAACCTTTTCATTAGGCTTTTATTATATACTCATGTAAATTATCTCTTAATATAGTAGTTGTTTTTTTAAAATTTATACTCTTTTTCTAATTACTGCTTTTACTTTATTTTTCTTTTGCTTGTAAAAATCTAATATTTTTATATGCTTTTGTTCTATGTTTGTTCAATGTAATCTTAGTGCTGCTTAATCTTGCAGGGTTCTTTTTATACAGCTTAATTTTTAAGTTTAGCTTGTAAAAATTTGATCTTTCTATGGGATTCTATGATATGCTCATTCAATTTATCTCTTAATATAGCTTGATTTTAGTGGGGCTTGTGTTTTGTTTTAATTTTTATATGTTTCAGTTATCACTTAATACAGCTTAATCTTGATTGTATTTTTTGAGAGGAATAATCAGAATCTATAGGAAAAAAAAAGAAGAGATTTTCCTTAATCTTATTGAAAATCACCTACATGCTAGTTAATTAATCTTGTTGATCTAGTTTCAAGTTATCTTTCATTCAAATTATCTCGATTCTCGAAATGCCAGCTTGTTTGTTTGTTTAGTGTTTTATTTCGTATATTTTCATATGCTTGATGTAATGCTCATTTAGATGTAACCAACAAGCCCACTTTTCTCCGCCGTTCTGCGACAGTTGCTTTCCTTTCCGATTTTTTGGTTGAATTATCCTGAGTATTTGTTACATATAATTTGATGGACTTTTTGTGTTCTACGTTAGAATAAGGAAATAGGGAGAGAGAAATGAAAAATGAATTATTTTTATTTGTAAGGTTGTCTACAATGCTTCAGAGTATAAGTAAAATTACTAGATTACTGCATGAAGTTATGCTTTCCTCTTCTTCTTTTTTTTCCTTTGAAATTGCACGATCATATTCGGGAAGCTTTCTGTTTAATCTTGATATGAAGAATTAGAAAATATTTTTACTATTGAAACTGCTCGAAGGAAACACTTGATTCATCATAAGTTCGTGTGCATCATAAATTAATGCAACTCTGCCAAAAAAATATGCAAGTTTATTGTTCACATGCATCTTGTTGCGAGAGAAAACATTCGATCGTCTCATAATCATCTCATTGTGCTTCTTAAATCTTTTTTCCTGTTAGATAAGAGCTGAATCTTGGACTTCTTGAATTTCCTTTTCTTCAACTTATTGTCTTATCATTGCTCAGTCTTCCTTCACCTAATTTCACTTCTCTCGTGGAATGATCCCTGGTACCACACTAGATCTCTTTTCCTTAATATCAGGAGAGGTTTTACCCACAAAGTGGAGTCTGGGAGGGGTAGAGTGTACGCAGACCTTACCCCTACCTTGTGAAGGTTGCGAAGGTAGAGAGGTTGTTTCCAATAGACCCCCAACTCTTGTTACATGAGAAGAAGAAAAAACATAATAAAGGGGGAAAGACTTATGATCTTTTTTTCTACTAACTTTTCTCACTTGGTTTTGTGTAAGACTTTTTCTGTAGTAGCTATAGCTCAAGGAGAATTAAAGAGAAATGGTCTTCTCGAGAATTTTACTAATCGGGTAGTTAGACGAAGTGAAAGGGAATTCTCTATCCTAATGTTATTGTCTTTCTTGTTCTTCCTGATCCATTGGGGTTGATGATTTTTCCTTGCGTTAATATGTCGTGTTCAAATTGATGATATAGACCCTGTTCCATAAATCTATTTTATAAGTTTCTCTGTATCTCATTGATCCTTGGGTTGCAGAGCTGTAACAGAACTCGAGGCACCTCTCAGCAGTGCTACATTTCAGGAGGAGTGTATAGAAACAGAATGCCCTCGAAAGAGGTATTTGTAAATATAGATACTTCTAACTATATCTTTGTCTTTCTTAAAAGGTGGAAAATTATGTATATGCTTGGGTTATTATTTCATGGGGATGACTAGCTTTGCCATGATGATATTAAGGGAATAAATACCAAGTGAATTAGTATTCAGATGTGTTTAAAATCATAGAAATGGGAGGGATCGGGTTTCTCAGTTTGGTATTTTGGTGTAAATTTCAGCACTACTTTATAGTTAATCAGGTCATGGAAACTAAAGTGATATCTATTCGCATTTCTTTTACTGAGTCTTCTTTTGTTATGTTTTTAACAGAGGCCGAAATGAATCTTGCAGCAAACAAGGGAGCAAGGCCTGCCGTGAGAGATTAAGAAGGGAAAAATTGAATGAAAGGTATTATCATGCTCATATGAACTCATATTTTCTCTCTGCATTCAAAAACAGATATTTTTCTATTATTTTCTACCATACACAGTAACATCGACATTGTAGATTAAGCGTGGATGTAGCTCGTTGCAATTTTATAGCTTCCTTGTTCTCTTACTGGTTTGGGCAGTCTTACTTGGAGCAGCCATTGGTATAAGTTCTTCTAAGTATAGCCGAGTGTGTCAAAAAGAGGCCATTATAATTTGAAAAGGATATACATCATAAATAGAGAAGGATGACAGGCACTCTTAGAAAGAGAAGTGTCATTTTCTGAGTGGCATTTAAATCACTTTGCTATTAGTTAAAACGTACTTAAAGTGACAATTTGGTGTTCTAAATCAATTTTTTTGAATCTTGTTTAATGTCATGCAGGTTTTCAGAGCTATGTTCTGTTCTTGAACCTGGGAGACCTGTAAAAACAGACAAAATGGCCATACTTGGCGATGCTATTCGTGTTCTAAACGAACTGAAGACTGAATCTGAGGAATACAAAGAGATGAACCAAAAGCTTATGGAAGAGATCAAAACGTTGAAGGTTAGATATGATTTTCCTGCTGTTAATGGTACTGGGAAGGTTGAAAGGCTAAAGTAACTTGTAAAATTTACTGTGACTGTCAGTTTTGAGTACTAACTATATGACACTCCCTTTTGCCGAAATTAGAAGAAACTTTGAGTTGCTACTCTTGAGTATTTTAATTCCTTCCTCTGATCTAGTGTACGATGTAACAGCCAAATTTTTTTTCTTATAAACAGGCAGAGAAGAATGAACTTCGTGAAGAGAAACTCGCACTGAAGGCAGACAAAGAGAGGATGGAGCAAGAGTTGAAAGCTACGGCTACTCCAGCAAGTTTTATTCCACCCCATCCAGCGGCATATCAGCCGGCAGTAAATAAGATGGCAGTTTTCCCAAGTTATGGTTATGTGCCAATGTGGCAGTATCTACCGCCATCTTCCCGAGACACATCTCAAGATCATGCGCTCAGGCCTCCTGCTGCTTGAGAATCTTGCAAGATGATGTACGGCATATGCCTCTTAATTCGTGTAAATAGTGGTAACATGTTAATCTATTTTTACTTTTACTCATCTCTGCCTCCTTTTGTTTGCCTCTCCATTTTCTCGATATTTAATTTGAGGGAGGTGCATGCATGGCAGATAATTTATCTAGGTGGAATTGGATTTGATTTACATCTGCTACATGACTTTTGCCCTTTTGGCTTCTGCATTTTTGTTTGTCTCTTGCAATAAGTAGACATTCTAATTTTGGTTTATCCGGACTATGTGATACAATTGATTATGAGCTTTTTAAATTTTGGATTCTTATAAGACTTGACGGAAGTATGAATGAACTGGCTGCTATTTTAATATGCCACATCTTACATAACTAATTGAACATCCCAAACTAAGAAAAGAAAAAGAAAATCATGTCTTCCGTTGGAGGTGAGCATACGTGAGATTAGGTATGGAAGTCATGTTGTTTCTCACCAGATAAAGGGCAGAGACCAGTGGCGGAACCAGAATTTTCACTAGGGGGTGTCAAAATATATAGAAGTAAAACTATGAAGAAGCCAAGGGAGGGGAGTCAATATATAGTATCTATCCATAAGTTTGAAGGATATGATGAAAAGGTTGCTTACCTGCCTGTGTAGAGCTTTTCACCAAGGACGAAATATGCTAGAACTGCAACTTGTATGGTTGAGACTTGAGAGTGGGTTGAACACCGTTGCGAAAACAGGTCCCTTTTGCTCAGTGCACCAGTGTTGTATGTAGACTACTAAACCCGAGACCACTATTCCCTATTTCAGTTACACAGATTCTAATCAAAATGTGCAAGTGCTGAATTGTTTTTTGAAGAGAAACTATTGGACCTTTCTTACCCCATACATGGTAGACCAGAAATCAATGTTGAAACCCATGGTCCAAGCTGTTCTTTTGTGTTATAGGATTACTGAGTAGAAAACTGATATTTTGGTTCCTATGATGCTGGTATTATCTTTCTGGCTTCTGTTACTGTTACTGAACTATTGTTATGTTGCGCGCTCTCCAAAATGTAGCGGCTTCAAAAGTGCACTACTTTTGGAGGATCCGACACGTATCTTGCCACATTTTCGGAGAGTCCGAGCAACATAGATCTAGTCTCTTTTCGTCTTCTTGAGCCGGGGGTCCATCGGAAACAGCCTCTTTACTCCTCCGGAGTAGGGGTAATGTCTACGTACACAGTACCCCCTTAGACCCGACTTGTGGGATTTACTGGGTTGTTATTGTTGTGTAGAAAGCTGATTGTGCTGCACCGACAAAACTCATCCATGCAGTCAGTGATAGTTGTGCCGGATATCTTCTCAAAGTGTAAGCCTGTAAATTCCAAGTGTAAGCTTGTGAGTGTTAGGAGGAGATCTTTCCTCAGAAACAGTAGTTAGTTCCTACATATCTTACTTGAGGAATCTCCATTATTCATGCAAGTTTTACGTCCATTTTTTTTTTGTTGAGAATAGAAGTTCATGATAGCTACCTGCATGATGTACCACATTGACCATGTAATGCAGCTAACAACAGTGAGAGTCAAGCTTTTCAGCCAGTTCTCGTGGACAACACTATTCCCTCTCTCGATATAGATGAGAGGATGCCCTATGTTTTTCAAAACAGGTCCTTTGTATATTGTCACAACAGGATGCCTAGCCAAGGAAACCATTGTTCCTAGGATTTTTGCTATTCACCAGAGGATCTCGGATGTTAGCATCTTCCAACCTACACAAAACTGTGATTTCAGCTATCTCTTGTTCATATGTTCCATGTAGAGGACATGACCCTGGATAGGAGGGTGTGGAGGTTGAGGATTAGGGTAGAAGGTTAGTAGGTAGTCGTGCGTTTCTCTTTGTCTCCATTAGTTAGGTAGTATTAGTGTTAGTATGGTACCCTTTTATACTGAGTTTGATATTATCGCATATCTTGTTCTCTATTGCTATTAGACCCTTGGATTTAGTTCTCTAAATATATTGTCTTGCTATCGGTACTTCTTTCATATTCTTTATTGCTATCTTCAATTTGGTTTTCTAAATATATTATCTTGCTATGAATTGCTAGCAGCGCTTCTTCCATCTTCTTTAGCCGAGGGTTTATCGGAAACATTCTCTCTACCCTCTAGGATAAGGGTAAGGCTGCGTACATCCTATCCTCCCTAGACCCCACTTGCGGGATTTACACTGGATTGTTGTTGTTGTTATTGTTGTTGTTGTAGTACTTAGAATGACTGCTAGCACAAATGTTAGGGCAGCAATAGTGTTGACCATTGAGACAAGAAGAGTTGGAGAGTTGTAGTTAAAGCTCACAAAGTACATGTTTCGTGTTAAACTCGCTCTGTAATGAAGTATAGGCTGTTAAAATATTCCTCATCAAACAGCATATATATATATATATATATATTTTTTAACTGAGCTTACCCCAGTAGAGAGAGTACAAATATCTGCAACACCAAAGCTAGTTAGTTTTGGCCTTGTCTTTCTGCAGAAAGCAACCGAAGCATCAGAAAATGGTTGCTGCATTTCATCCTAGTTCTCTCCTGCCCCGACACCGGTCCCGTCTTGCCTCCTTGTAAAGCTAAGAGCACCTGCATTCCTACATTAATGAAGAAATGAAACAATTGTCTGCATGTTATTTGGGTTGGAGATGACCTTGGATATACCTTTCAAGAAAATAGGCAAAGGGTAGAATGGCAAAACCAGCTACAATAGACCGATAAGTTATGTAGACATGATGATTCATTCCATGATCCATGATTGAAGGAAGCTTCCGTTAATAACAACAACAACAAACCCAGTCGAAGTCTGGGAAGGGTAATGTGTATGCAGACCTTACCTCTACCATATGAAGGTAGACAGGCCGTTTCCATAGACCCTCGGCTCAAGAACTGAAGGAAGCTTAAGTTATGAAGTATAAAAAAGTGTAAGCAATTTGAGCCAAAACCATAAGGATGTGAGGCCTGAACCTCTTTGTAAGTTCCTATGTATGTCTTCATAGCCATCAATCCCTATGCTCTTCTATGCCTTAAACAAACTAAACACCAACATTAAGCAGTTTATACTTTATATAGAGGAATGAGTTTTGATACCAAGTGCTTGTTGTTGTTAGTATCCTGTTCTTTTCATTATTCTTATCGTTAACCTGAGAACTTTTCCAACACTGAAAGATATATTCTTTTTTTTTTTTTTTTGGTAATTAAACTTTCTATTTACCAGGGATGAAAGATATATTCTTATTTGCTCTTTAGGGATACATGTTATTGTACCTAACTATTCTTGAAGTTAAATTAAAAACAAAAAATTGTTGCAGTGATGCTGATAGGAGAAGGCGAATTTAATGCTAATACCAATAATATTCGTAGCACCAAGAATTCCTTGTTGATGATTAATATAATGTTCAAAAAAGCTATACCACAGTCATAAATAAGTTAGGGTCGGTTACATGAACCATCACTGATCATTTTGCTCCATTTAAGTCGGTCTGATCAATAGAGTATTTATTAGAAAAATTATAAGGATTTAAAGTGTACTATTAATGCACTACAAATTGGAAAAAAGAATCGAAATATAGATTACAAAGAATAATAATGGAGGCCTTTTATACCACTTAACCAAGGTGCACCATGTTCCATGTCTGTCACTTAAAAAAGACAAGTCAATTGATTGATAGTTAGAGAACTGAGTGCAAAACTCAAGCACCCAAAGGTGTGATCTAGCGGTCAATAAAGTAGGTAAAACTTTAAAAACCATTTCCATTTACCTTAGCTTTAATGGGCAGAGTTATTTGGTATTTATGCTGGTGGAAGCTAGCAGATATTCGATGAAATAGTTGAGGTACACGCAAACTGGTTTAAAAAAGTACGAGAAGTTAGATATTTTTATTGACCATGAGCACAATATCTTTATATAAAACATCATTATTACATCTGATTATCTTTCAAGGTTATTCGGTTCCTTAAATTTCATATAAAACATTGGTTTCTTTTCCACTCAACCTTTCACATAGTTACTATATATTGAAGCTTGTTGTCACTAAGGACAAATCAATCTAATCTTCACCAATTATTGTTGTCACTTTGTATGATATGTTGGATTATATGCATAGGAAAGACAAAGTATGTTCTTTTCAGGCATATTCCTTGGTTCATTGCGTACCTTCAACTTACTACATTGCTTAACTCTCATAGGAGTTGGAGGCAAGAATATGTCCAATTTTTAATACAATGAATCAAACATTCGATAAAAACAATTTCTTCATTACATCCCCTGCATTATTAACCCTTGCATAACTAATCCCTATATTACAATCCATGCATAACTTGTTTTTAAACCATATGACCCCCAACCCTCCGAATTCTACCATGGTCATTTGATATATTGCGTTCGAAATCAATTTATTTGTATTTATCAAATGAATTTTAACACACACATACAGAATTCGAGCCAAAACTAATCCCGCGCTAATCAGAGTTACAAAGCCAAATAACATAACCACGATCCATGAATATTGTTGAGTTTAGGTCAGCAGGACAAAAAGGCCTTCCTCAATTAACATCAAGTGATCAATTACAGTTTCTTCTATACGGACGAGGAACGGAAAAAAAAAAATATTCTGGAGTATAAGTATACAAATGAACACTCTCTCAATCCTAATTTTTTCCTATTCACACTTCAAAATTGGATAGTAATGAAAGACCATGGGAACAAATGTGGAAGTACTCTGTGGAAATGTCTAACCGGCAGCCCATATCCAGAACATAATTAGAGAAGACATGGAAATCGTTATCCAACTGAGGAAGGAAAATGCAACCGATAACTGGTACTTGGTGCATTCCTCGCCAAAACTGCAACTTCCCAAGTCGTGAAAGTACAACACCGTGATGCCAGCTGAAGAAGCAGCTGCAGCGAGCGTTAGTATTGCTGTACACTGCAAGTACATACATTCCAAGGAGATTGATAAGAGAATTAGTAAAGCAATATGTTTCTTGTGTATTTAGAGCGTACTGTCATTCAGCAGATACTAACCCAATCTCCAACTACGAAGAGGCTCAGTAAAACATGATTGTGGAAAGCCTTCTTCTTTGCCAAGAAATAGGCGTCCAAAAAGGCAAGTCCGATACTCCAGATAACTTGCAAAGCCATTGAAGCAATTAAGTAGCTGCAATAAATGACATGCATATGAAAATCATCAAATTCCAACAGTCTATTGTCATATGAACACAGTAGTCTGGGAAAATGATGGAGTGATCAATTGGACATATTGATATATCAACAATCAAAACCTGTACTATTTAAGATTTTTTTACTTAAACAGAATGCAAGACCATGCATAAGTCACTGGTGTCTTAAACATGTATAACTCACAAAATCACTGAAATTAGCAAGCCGGGGCGAAGCTACATTCTCTTAAGGGTGGTCAATTGACCACCCTTCGTAAAAAAATTACACTGTGTATATAGGCAAAATATTAGGTTTTAGAGTTATATAACCTATATTGAACACCCTTGGAGAAATTCTTGGCTTCGCCACTGTTAGCAAGGTTCAATAACTAATTGAGATAAACTATTTCATAAATCAAGGAAGACCACTTGCTGGAAGACATGAGTCACGAGGTGATAAAATGGCCATTAGTGCTTAATGAAGGTTATTTGATTATTTTTTTCCTTACTTTTGGTTGTTTCTATGGTTTCCACTCTCTTTGCATAGTAAGGGCAACCCGGTGCATTAAGCTCCCGCTATGCGGAGGTGTACGGGGAAGGACCGGACCACAAGGGTCTATTGCAAGCAGTCTTACCCTGCATTTCTGCAAGAGGCTGTTTCAACGGCTTGAACCCGTGACCGGTCACATGGCAGCAACTCTCTCCAATCTGCATAGTGTTTTCAGTAAAAGATATTGGCTAAAGAGCAGTAAAGGCTAAAGACTAGATTGAATGTTCCATGTCAAGCCTTCCACATCATGTCTAAGCTTGAGCTTTCATTGTTCCGAACATGTCTAAGTTCATTAAACATGCAACATTATGAACGACTTCCAACCTATTTCTTGACATCCGCCAACATATTGACAGTGGTAGCTAATGCAAAGCCAAGTTTTCAAAAGTCATTTTAGAAGCTTTTATCCCTTCACTAAACTTTAAAGCGTTATTAACATACGGGTGATTTCTACTTTATCCAGCTTTACAAGGAGGAGTATTTGATATACTTCCACCAGTACAAGTTGAAAACCCAAACTGGAGACAAAGTTAAAAGAGTTTATAAGGTTTAGGTACACAAGCAATTACTGTACAGTTTGCATTTAAATTATTATTTCACAACACCAAAAAAGTTGTTTAGGCTGATACTCGGACCAACATTGTTAGACTGAGTTTCGCATTAGAGAGAACAACCGGTAACGGTTTGGGCATCAATGGCCATTGATAAGGCCAGGTTCTACCTACAGCCAGGGGCGGATTTTAGGGGCGCGGAAGGGGCTCGAACTCCCTTCGTCAGAACATTTCACGGTATATATAAGGCAAAATCCGTTTTGTGCCTCTATATATTATATTTTAAATCCCCTTGATACAACCCAAAAGCATAACTCAGTGGTCAAGGGGATTCAAATCCTTTGTGAGATTGCTAACTCAATTCTCACTAGCCACACCCCCTTAGCGGAAATCCTGCCTCCGCCACTGCCTACAGCTAGTAGTCAGTTGGATCAAAAGAATAAACTTTTACTTTTTTGATATGGCAAAATCCAACTACCCAAACCCCATTAATCAGGAACCAAACATTGACTTTTCTCAGTTTGCTCCATGTGACTTGAAACCCTGACCTTATGATTGGAAGTGGAAGGTCCTTTCCACTAGGCTATACCTCCCTTATAGGATCAAAACAACAAACTTTCGTAACTGGATTAGGACAAATAGGATTACAAGTTCAATAGTCCTTACTCGTAAGATATTGGTACAATGTTACAACAATTAATCTTATGAATCTCTATTAGTAACCTAATACCACCACCTTACATTTGGGAATGGACAACAAATCAAATTTTGGAAGGATAAATGGTTTGGGAATTCAGCCCTAAGGATTGACTATCCTAACCTGTTCCAGATTGCAAGTGATCCCGACTCTATAATCATTCAAAATAAGGATGGCCCCATTTGGAATGCTACTCTGAAAAGGTATTTGCAGGACTGGGAGGTTTCTGATTATGTTCGACTGCTAGAGGCACTACATGGCGTCACAGTAAATGAGCACATCACAGATAAGTTCGGATGGGGAGGAGCAAGTGATGGTAGGTATTCTGTGAAGGCAGGGTACAGACTAATAATGGCTAGAAATGGAATTACCGATCTTTGGCCATGGAAATTAATATGGAGAAACTACCACCCAAGGTCATCTGCTTCAGCTGGACTGCACTTTATGAGGCATGTTCAGGAGAACCTTGTTAAAAGGAACTTCCAGTTAGTTAATAGATGCTACATGTGTCAAAAGGATGCAGAAACCAACAACCCCCTATTTCTACATTGTAGAGTTGCAGCAGATATTTGGAGCATGTTTTGCTCTGTTTTTGGTATTAGCTGGGTTATGCCTCACAACATGAAGGAGGCATTTCAGAGCTGGGGCAGCTGGAAAGTTGATAAGACCATCAAGAATGTCTGGGAAATGATACCTGCTTGTATTTGTTGGAGCATATGGAATGAAAGAAATAGAAGATGCTTTGATGGACTTTCAACTCCTAACAACGCCCTAAAAGCTAAATGCCTTTTGTTTTTATTTAGCTGGGCAAATGTTTCCCCTGTAGATTCCCCCGAAACATTTGTGAACTTTGTTAGCTCTTTGTATCTAAGTTAGCATATATGTAGTATGCTAACAGGTGTTCTTTTTTTTTGCTTTTTGAAGCTTCTATGCTTCTGCTTCTTGTAATATTTTGCATCTTCCTGATGACATCAATGAAGCCAATTATTTCATCAAAAAGAAGTAACCTAATACATTAAGTTACATTATCTATGATGCTCCTTCAACAGATAAT